GGGCCAAATCATGAGTGAACTCCCATTCACAATTGGTACAAAGAGAATAAAACACCTAGGAATCCAGCTTACAAAAGATGTGAAGGACATCTTCAAGGAGAACTACAAACCACTGCTCAGTGAAATAAAAGATGAAATAAAAGACACAAACAAATGGAAGAACATTCCATGCTCATGTATAGGAAGAATCAACATCTTGAAAATGGCCATACTGCCCAAGGTAATTTATAGATTCAATGCCATTCCCATTAAGCTACCAACAAGTTTCTTCACAAAATTAGAAAAAACTACTTTAAAGTTCGTATGGAACCAAAAAAGAGCCTGCATAGCCAAGACAATCCTAAGCAAAAAGAACAAAGCTGAAGGCATCAGGCTCCCTGACTTCAAACTATACTACAAGGCTACAGTAACCAAAACAGCAAGGTACGGGTAACAAAACAGATATATAGACCAATGGAACAGAACAGAGGCCTCAGAAATAACACCACACATCTACAATAATCTGATCTTTAACAAACCTGACTAAAGCAAGAAATGGGGAAAGGATTCCCTATTTGATAAATGGTACTGGGAAAACTGGCTAGCCATATGTAGAAAGCTGAAACTGGATCCCTCCCTTACACCTTATACAAAAATTAATTCAAGATGGATTAAAGACATAAATATAAGGCCTAAAACCATAAAACCCAAGAAGAAAACCTAGGCAATACCATTTAGGACATAGGCACGGGCAAAGACTTCGTGACTAAAACACCAAAAGCAATGGCAACAAAAGCCAAAATAGACAAATGGGATTTAATTAAACTAAAGAGCTTCTGCACAGCAAAAGAAACTACCATCAGAGTGAACAGGCAACCTACAGAATGGGAGAAAATTTTTGCAATCTACCCATCTGACAAAGGGCTAATATCCAGAATCTACAAATAACTTCAACAAATTTACAAGAAAAAAACAAACTACCTCATCAAAAGGTGGGTAAAATATATGAACAGACACTTCTCAAAAGAAGGCATAAAGCAGCCAACAGAAACATGAAAAAATGCTCATCATCACTGGTGATCAGAGAAATGGAAATCAAAACTACAATGAGATACCATCTCATGTCAATTAGAATGGTGATCATTAAAAAGTCAGGAAACAACAGATGCTGGAGAGGATGTGGAGAAATAGGAACACGTTTACACTGTTGGAAGTGTAAATTAATTCAACCATTGTGGAAGACAGTGTGGTGATTCCTCAAGGATCTAGAACCAGAAATATCATTTGACCCAGTGATTCCATTACGGGGTATATACCCAAAGGATTATAAATGATGCTACGATGAAGACACATGCACACGTATGTTTATTGCAGCACTATTTACAACAGCAAAGACTCGGAACCAACCCAAACGTCCATCAATGATAGACTGGATTAAGAAAGTGTGGCACATATACATCATGGAATACTATGCTGCCATAAAAAAGGATGAGTTCATGTCCTTTGACATGAACATGGATGAAGGTGGAAACCATCATGCTTAGCAAACTATCACAGGGACAGAAAACCAAACACCGCATGTTCTCACTCATAGATGGGAATTGAAAAATGAGAACACATGGACACAGGGCGGGGAGCATCACACACCGGGGCCTGTCATGGGATGTGGGGCTGGGAGAGGGATAGCATTAAAAGAAATACCTAATGTAAATGACGAGTTGATAGGTGTAGCAAACCAATGTGGCAAATGTATACCTATGTAACAAACCTGTATATTGTGTACATGTACCCTAGAAATTAAAGTTAAAAAAAAAATTTTCCCATTAATAAAGATTTTCCAAATTGGGATATTTTTAGGGTGAAAGTTAAATTTATTAAAAATTACCCTGTGCAAATGGGTGTAAATCAGGATTGCTGGAACAAACGAGGACATAGAACATCCTGTAACATAAAAGAAGATAGGGAGATATTTCAACCAATAGAACAAAGAAGTGAAAAGAGTTCTGTGCCTGAGTGACAGACGAGATGCCTGAGGGACGAGGTAACAATAGGTCAGACATGAGTCCTGGTTTATCTACCAAGTGAAAAATGTAAGTGGGGCCAGTTGGAAATGAAGGGCAAATAAAGCCGGATAGTCTAGAGATACTCCAGGAATTTAAGTACACTTGCTCTTAGCTTTTCAGGCAATAGCCTAGGAAAATTGACAACCCCTAAAAGACTCCTTCATATTTTACATTGTGCTAGAAAAACATACTACTCTCCAGGTGATGTTGAAAATGGACTGAGAAAGGTATATCTGTGTAGATGGACCCTAACTGGTTTCCAAATTGCTCATGGCTTGTATTTGCAATATAGAGAAATCAGAAGCCTCAACTACCTCAGTGGGACACACGGAAATGTTAATATTTGATGTACTAGAGCAGAAAAAAAACTAGGGTTAGGATAATGAGGTCACAGATATAAAGGAGTTCACAGATATTGTGGCAGAGGCCATGGATTTAGCAAGGTGTGTTGAGTTCACATACAAAAGAACTACCCTGGAACTATCCAGGAGCTATCCAGAACTATCCAGCTATCATGTACCTGAACACCACCAACCTAATCAAACAAGTCACAGTACTCAGGAGAGTGAATATAGCCTGTAGACTTTAAACTATATGGATAGATAAGTAACTTTTTACTAGGAACCATCTAGGGAAGAATAAAAAGGGCATGCCATTTGAAGGAAGAAAATGAGCACTAATAACTATGTTTTAGCTAAACATTCAGTTAATATAATATTCAAACACTCTGTGTTAAACCCAAAGACACTGGTTTAACTCATAAAGACTGGAATAGTCTTTAATATGCAGGTTATCTTTTCTTTTGTCTTCAGCAGGAGTAGGAGTTCAAAGACAAAACCAGTTGCAGATAATAAAGATATATTTCTTTGCAAATCTGAACAGTAGTGTGCAAAATTCAACTTTAACTCATAGATCAAATGATTTTAACTTTTTAAAACATGTTTTAATCTTATACACATATCAATCATAAGGCAAATAATTTATCCCTATTTAATAAGTGAGTAAAAAGACATATTTAAATAACCTGAATCCTCACTTGGCTGTTTTATAACACAACTGGAATTCATACCAGCCATTCCCAGTCCTTAGCTCTTTCCACTAAACCATCAAGGAGCAACTTGAAACATAAATATTGTACATGGTATATAGGAGATAAGTGTGAGATCAGGAGGACTAAAGAGAGTAAGATGGGTAGCAAAAATTCAAGCATGGCCCGTCTGGAATAGGAAATAGTAAGAGATCTGAATCTAGCTCCTAATACCTCAGGATATAGAATAAGGCCTTTTGTTAGGAGACTGGGGAAGACAGATTAGATGAAAAGAAGCAAGGGTATGAAATTCTGAAGGTTTGATTATAATGCCATAAAATTTAAATCATTGTTAAACTCATTTGTATTAGTTCATTCTCACACCACTATGAGGAAATACTCGAGACTGGATATTTTATAAAGAATAGAGGTTTAATTGGCTCAAGTTCCACATGGCTGGGGAGTCCTCAGGAAATTTACAATCATGGTAGAAGACACCTCTTCACAAGGCAGCAAGAAAGAGAATGAGTGCAAGCAAAAGAAATGCCAGACGCTTATACAACCATCAGATCTCGTGAGACTCACTCATTATCATGAGAACAGCATGGGAGAAACCACCTCCATGATTCAGTTATCTCCACCTGGTCCCGCCCTTGACACGTGGGGATTATTACAATTCAAGGTGAGCTTTGGATGGGGACACAGCCAAATCATATGATCACTGTATTCAATATTACTTAAAATTCAAACATTCAAACCACAAAATTAAATTCAAGCACAAGGGGCATCAAGACAATGATGTTCTGCATTTTCGTTGCTAAGAATTTCACTCAAAAGATAAAATAAACTTGATTAAAGCATGTCTTAACAATAAAATTATTCAAAAGAGTATTATCATCATGTAAGCTTTTGTAGCTTCTGAATGTTTGGCCAAAAATGAAAATCTCCAGAAAACAATAATAGAATGTTAAGCATAGTTGCAGTTTTACATATTCCAAAAAAATTGTTAAATGGTTTTAAAGTGGCATATAAACGTTTTGTTTCTTTTTCTTAAATTTTCATGCCAAAGGTATCTCACCCACTACCCTAGGTCTAGGCCTATACAAAAACCCTAAAAGGATGTCACCCATCAGCAAAAATTACAAAAGACTTGAGTCAGTACCTAGGAGGGAGTTTTTATTTATTAAAATATCTCATGTAAGTTTCACAGCAATCTTAAAAGGTAATGTCTTTGGTCTTTGCAGCTACATTTTATATATGAGAAATCTGAGCTCCAATTTGTTTAAATAACTCTCCTAAGGTTAACGTTTATAGCTGTCAAAGCTGGCATTTAAACCCAAGTTTGACCACAATGGCTAAGTTTTTTCTTCAAACTACAATTTAATAATATGTTATAAATTTATGTCTCAATTAAATGATATTTAATTTAATTTTTTTGAGACACTGTCTCACTCTGTTGCCTAGGCTGGAGTGCAGTGGTATGGAGCCATCTCGGTTCACTGCAACCTCTGCCTCCCAGGTTCAAACTATTCTCATGCCTCAGTCTCCCAAGTAGCTGGGATTACAGGCCTGTGCCACCACACCCGGTTATTTTTTTTTTTCTTTGGTATTTTTAGTAGAGACAGGGTTTCACCATATTGGCCAGGCTGGTCTTAAACTCCTGGCCTCAAGTGATCCACCTACCTTGGTCTCCCAAAGTGCTGTGATTACAGGCATGAGCCACCAGGCTGGCCTAATTTTATAATAATCTTTATATGTAGTTAAATGGATAAATACTTTTTCTGAATGTTTCCAAATGGATCTCTTTTACATGAAAGTTGGTTGAAAATGTTTTAAAATTAATCCCAGAAACAAAACCAGTATTTCTACTTGTATTATTTTAAAAAAATGATTAAAAGATCATTTTAAGTTAGCTTTGACTGTATCTTTACCTGCCCAACTACTTTGTCTCTTTCCAAGGAGGTCAGCATTTTCTCCTTCAGTAAAGTGTGGTGTTTCTCATGTAACACCCTTATAGTTGGTTCATAAGATGCATAATGTAACTTCAACCTATAAAAAATAAAAAGTCAATAGTATCTTAAGGGGTTATTGAGTTAAATCAGTAATTTCCATCTAACATCGAAACCTTTTTTTCTTTTTCTTTTTTGCTGTGAAATAAAAATAAATAACCTCATAAAGGTTAACACACTACAGCCAAGAAGCACAAAAAGCACACAAATTCACTGCAACTTGAGGGTGGAGGGTGCAGTGAGGGAGCAAATCACGTCTTAATTAGTTCTCTATTTCCTACTAGTACCCTTTGCTATATCCAAGTATGTACTCAGAATATTACTGCTACCCATGAAATTTTTAAAAATGAAATTCCTTTTGTTAATTTGGAAATAACTGTCAGAAAGACAAGGGCCACAAATAATAGATGATTAAACATGGAGTGTCATTCACATCAAAATAAACTAAAGGATAGTCTTCAAAACAAGTTTGGCTAATCTTCTATTTTAAAAATTAAGTATAAAAACATTTTGATACCTAAACAGAAGGAATAGTTCAGCCTAGTATATAATATAGATACCTTTAAAAATCTGTTTTATTTGAAAATGACCTCAAAATCTTTTTATTGAAGTGTAATTTACATGGATAAAACATACAGCTCTTAAGTGTTACTGTTCAGAGTTCTGAGAAATGCACACCCAAGTAGTACACATTATCAAAATATGAAACATGTCTAACACCCCAGAAAATTCTAGAACTTCATGTATTTGGTAACATATAACATGTTCTCTTTTTTAACTAGTTTATTTCACTCAGCATAATGTTTCTTTAGATTATTCCTATTACTTTACATCGCAATACTTCACTCCTCTTTACTGTGAGTAGTATCCACTTGTATGTAAATGTGGTTATCCAATATTTTGCTGATGAAAATCTGAGTGGATTTTAGTTTGGGCTATCATGAATAAGGCCTCTTTAAACATTCTTATATAAGTCATGTAAGATTTTTTGATCATATATCTTCATTTATTTTAGATAAATACCCAGGAGTTTAATTGCTGGATTGTAATTTATACTACCAGCAACCTTATAAGATAGTCCTGGTTACTCTACATTCTTGCCAACCTCTGGTGACGTCAGTCTAATGAGAGTTTATCCAACTTATTATCAAATTTGTCAGCTTTACTATATTTTCCATTAACCAACATCTAACTTTGTTGATTTTTTGTTTGTCCATTTGCTATTTTATTGATTTCAGCTCTTATTTTTCATTTCTTCATGTTTCTTGGTTGTAGTTTGCTCTTTTTAAGCTTCTAAGATGACATCATTGGTTTTAAAACTTTATTTTCTAAAATAAGCATTTAAAGCCATCAATTTCAATTTAAGCTGCATTGGCTGCATTTCAATATGCTGCATTTTTAATCATTCAGTTCAAACTATTCTCTAATTTCTTTCTTTGCCTCATGGATTATTTAAGGCATACGACTTAATTTCCAAATATTTGAGAAATCCCCTGAGATTTTTAAAAATTGATTTCTAATTTAATTTGATTTTGGTCAGAAAACATTCTTTGTATGACATCAGTCCTTTGAAATGTATAGAGACTTGTTTTACAGTTCAGTATATGATCTATTTTAGTGACAATTCCATGTGAACTGGAAAGAGCAAAGTAGAAGTCAAGAAATGTTAACTATGCTCACTTGATTGACAGCACTCTTCTACACAACCTCTGGAATCTCTATTTTGCTCAGAGCTTCCCAGGCACTGTTTCCTGCCAGGCTTTGTGTTCTCTCATCCTATACTTTCACAAGTTAGTTATGAGGCCAAAGATTGAAAAGGACTATTGCAGATATGTCTTACATTTCACATACCTCCTTCGTTGTGTGTACACCATGCTGCAAGTTCCAGCTACCTCTATAGCCCTGAACTCCGATCTCTGCCTCCTCAGCTCCAAAAACCACCATGCTCTGCTTAGGCTATATCTGGTCCTCTCTGTTGGAATGGGAGTCTGTAAGGGCCAGGAAATAAGTAGGGTCCTGGCTCACAGCATATTTGGTCCATGTACCCAACCAGTGATCAATTCCAGTGTTCCTGAGTAAATAATTGGAATTTATATGCTTGGCAATTGGAATAAGCTAGCAGAATAGGGAAGGTTATCCCCAGCCTCTTCTTGGATGTCAAATACATCTATGTATATTTCTTCCTACACTTTCTAATACTGAGTGTTAAAATCCTAAGTATAACTAAGGAAATATCTATTTTTCCTTTCATTTTTATCAGAGTTTGCTTCATGTATTTTGAAGCTCTTATATTAGAGTAATGCATATTTAATATTATGTCTTCTAGGTGAACTGACTCTTTATTACATGAAATGTATGAAATGTCATTCTCTTCTTCTCTGGTTCTCAGGATGCCCCTGAGAGTGTTTTTCTGTAGCCCTATGGGCTTACAGAGGTGGGCCCCATTTCCTACAAAGAAGTAGTACTTCAGCTGTGCTGCAAGATGCTGAAAAGCCCTCTTCCCCACAAAGAAAGAGATGTCCCCACCCCGGCCCCACCGCTGGAAGTCTCCCTACCTCCTCTCCTCAGTGCGATTACGGAGGAAACAGACTATACATCTAAACTGCTGCAAGAAATAGTCAGCATGTACTGGCAGGAACCAGAAAAGTACCCCCAGAGGCTGGATTTTGAGGTACTTGATGAAGGGGGGCTGGAATGCAAGACTGGATAAACAATAATTCCTTGACCTCCACACAATGGATTTAACATTATAGGAAGAACTCCAGCGAATAAGGTAGATTCACTTCTAGGGTGGTCCTTAGAAACTTGGAAAAAGATAGCCAACACTGTGAAGTAGAAATGCTGGAGCTAACCTAGCAGACAGCAGAGGAAGCACTCCATAACACCAATTATATACTGTTATAAATAGCCTCAATTTTTCTGCAAATTACCCCTGGCTATTTAATTGAGTGGCTATTTACTGGGGAAAGATATTTTTAAGAATTTGTCATGCAAATTCAGAAACTTAAAGCAAAATCATGACCCCCCTGTTAGAATGGGAGTCTATAAGGGACAGGAAATAAGTAGGGTCCTGGCTAACGTCTGCTCACAGCATATTTGGTTCATGTAAGCACCCAGTGATCAGTTCCAGTCTTCCTGAGTAACTAATTTGAATTTGTATACTTAATAATTGGAATAAGCTAGCAGAATGGGGAAGGTTATGCCCAGCCTCTTCTTGGATTTCAAATACACCTATGATGGACTATTTGATATTGTTCCAGAAGTTCTGTTTATGTTTTTTCAGTCTTTTTTCTTTGAGTCCCTGCTCATTTCTTTTCAGCTTTTTTCTCTTTGAGCACCAGTTGGATCATTTTCCATCTTCCTGTCTTCATGTTCATTGATCTTTCCATTGGCAATGTCCAATCTTCTAAGACCTACTAGTAAATTTTTCATTTGCACATTATGTTTTTTTCAGTTCTCAAATTTCAGTTTAATTCTGTTTATCACTCCTATAGTCACCATTTTCTTTAAAACTCTAAGCATTTCATAATAACTGTTTTAAAGTCCCTGTCTGCTAATTCTGTAATTCTCTTTTCTCTGTGTCTGTTTCGGCTTTTTCCTGATTATAGGACGTATCTTCCTGCTTCTAGATATATCTATAGATAGATCAATCCATATAAACTTTATTTATTTATTGTATGTTGGACATACACTTGTTTGAATTTTGTTTTCTTCCTTTAAAGAGTTATTTTCTGACAGAGAGTTAATTTCTCAGTGAATCAGTTGAGTTTTTCAAAGCTTATACCTTTAAGCTTTTTGGAGAAAAAGTCTAAAGCAGCATTTTCTCTAGGACCAACTAGGTCTGCTTCTATGGCATGACTTGTGGAGGATATTAAGTAAATGTTCAGAGTATTCAGTGATGTTCCTTCCCTTATGGCTGATCAGTACTCCTACATCTCCCAGCACTGTGCAACCTCTGGAATCTCTATTTTGCTCATAGCTTCCCAGGTGCTGTTTCCTGCCAGGCTTCGTATTCTCTCATCTTATACTTCCACAAGTTAGTTACGTGGCCAAAGACTGAAGAGAACCATTATAGATATTTCTTAAGCTACATTTCATGTACCTCCTTCCTTCTGTGTACACCATGCTGCAAGTTTCAGCTACCTCTGCAGCCCTGAACTCTGATCTCTGCCTCCTCAGCTCCGAAAACCACCATGCTCTGCTTGGGTTATATCTGGTCAAACTGTCGGCTGAAAAGTACCTTCAGGAAGATATGTGGGGTGAACATCCTGCTCATTTTGTGTTTGTCTTCTCTTAGGCATCAAGGTCCTGCTTTGCCAATTTTCCACCATCTTTAAAAAAAAAAAAACTGCCTCATGTATTTTGTCCAGTCTTGTAGTTCCTTACATTTGGGGAGCTAGTTTAGTACTAGTTGGAGAGCTAATTCTATACTATTTACAATGGCATAGCACAAAGCAGAAATTCCCTAAAAGTCCTCCAAAAGAATAATATTTTATTTCATTAATAATTGAAACAGAGCTTTTCATTTTCTATAATATTTTCATAGCAGTATTTATAAAAGTCATTAATTTGGATATCACATTATACCTCATTGATGATAGCAATAGAAATTAAGTATTAAAGTGCAGTTGCATTTTATATACATTTAATGTGTATTAATATGACATTCAGAAAGAGTAATAAAAATAAAAATTTAGGTAGTACATACAGTTCTATCCTCCGTTCTGATTAGCTTCATGTGTGTGTGTATGTATGTATATATATATATGCACACATACATATATATACTTTGTTGTATACTATAATCTCCATAAACATTACATATGTCTAAATACATAAAACACACAGATATAGAATTGTATACACACAACCATGTACACTGTAATCTGTGGATGGTTGAAGAATTTTAAGGAAAATAATGATGGCAAAATTTCCTTTTTTTTACTAACTTTGGAATTTAACTCATTCATGAGATATGGCTTGACTATCTTCTGTTAAAATAATTAACAACACATAGAATTTCACTAGAATGTAACAAAGAAAAAACATCGCTACAAAAAAATTAAAACATAAAAAAATTTAGCTGGGTATGGTGGCATGCACCTGTAGACTCAGCTACTCAGAAGGCTGAGGTGGAAGGATTGCTTGAACCCAGGAGTTGGAGGCTACAGGATGCCTTCATCTCACCACTGCATTCTACCATGGGTGACAGAATGAGACTCTGACTCTAAAAAGCAAAACAAAACAACAAACAAACAAAAAAGAAATACTATAAAATTTATTATCAAACTAGTTGAAAAATTTACAGAAAAAGTAAGGTAAACATTTAATGTTTCACAATGAAAGGAAATATGGATACACTATTAATGTATTTGGGTAAAATATGACATAAGAGATCTCAGACCCCAACTTTGCCTGGCATCAAAAACACCCTATCCTATAGCTGATTTATTATGCAATAGCACAGCTATCAGGCAAAGTATTCACTGTGTTTGACTGGTTAACTTGATGCCCAGCTTTTTTGTGACTTGATGGCATCACTGAAGTTTTGTTTTAGGTCTTTATAAAATGTGCTTTAGTGATTCATCCAGATTGCTAAATGGAGATGTTCTTCTTAATGATTAAATGAAGAAATAAAGGCTATCTGAGTATAGACCAAGTGTAGCTATATTACAAAGTAATGTGTGCTTCTTTACAAGGGTGCCTGAAATAATGAAATATGAAAAAACATATAATCTAAAGTGATTAATTTTATATGAAAAGTATTCCCTTTAAACGTATTAGGAATTTGAAGAAGTATGGTATATTTTTAAATATAAATGGTTAGGGGCTATTGTATTGGACAGTACAGATATAGAGTATATCATCATGAAAAGTTCTATTGGATAGCACTGCCCTAGAGCAAGCAAATAGAATTTTACTTAAGGATTGTAAATTTCTTTACTTGTTTTTGTAAGGGAGGAAGGTAAAGAAGGAGAGAAAGTAAATCTCAATAATGTCTTCAAAATAATTTATAAAAGACTTTTAAATTCATAGTCATTTAGAGATATGTCCCCTATCCCTGCAATACCACAGCTGCACTTCACTCTCTTTGCATACAATTTGATGAACATACCATGTTTTTTCATGTCTTGGCGCATTTGCAGAGGATGTACTATCTGCCAACAGCACTGTGCTGACCCCACTTCCTCACTGTCTACTCTTACTTGTACTTGAGAATTTAATTCCTGTGGAAATAAATCCTTGAGTCATCTCACACTCCAGTCTTATTGGGATGATGGCCCTCTTGGGTGGCATAGCAACAATGCAGTGTATTTCAGTATATTTCTACTTAACTCCTCCCACTTCACACACACAAATAGTTTCTGAGACCCTTGACAGCAAGGGCCGCAACTTACTCATCTTATGCTCAATAAATGTGGAACTAATAACTTTGTCTAAAACTTTCTGTCATAATCAAATTACTTAACATGTATTAAATAACTCTTTAATAAATAGTCCAACAAATATAAGCTTACCCTTTGAGGTCATTGATTAATTTGTTTTTTTCCTGGACTATTCGCTTGTGATGCATTCGATGAAAATCACGCTCTTTCTGAATTTTCAGCAGATCTTCTCTAGCTTTGCTGCAAAAAAAATAGTAACTTTATAAATCACTGCTAATTCCTTTTTCAAAAATTATTTAGTCTTGAGTTCAAATCTAGTATTGGGCCATTCAGAAGATAATAGGAAAACAAATATTTTGCTATGATTCTCATTGAAGGTTCCCATCAAACATAATTTGTATAAGGTCATATTAGGTTTGGGGGTGAAGGATGAAAGGGCAAAACCTGTAGTTCCAAAAATATGATTCATCTACATTTCATCTAAAGTGAAAATTAAAGGTATGCTGCCAGAACATGTCCATAGTATAAACCATTTACTTCCAAAGAGAACTTGTTTGGCTCGGAAAATTGAAATATATGAAACACGATAATTCAAAATTATTAAAAATAAAGACTTTATGGAATTTAACTCTGAACTTCCTAGAATGTAAAGTTAAAGAGAATATACTAGATTATTCAGTTCTGATATTTGGGAAAAGAAAGTATATAAATTCTAAAAAACCAAGATTTTATGGTATATATTAAATAAATATATGTCATCAGTGGATCTGATTATTACATAATTCATAGCTTGATGAGAATTGTCTTCAATATCGGTGCTGTAATACAGAAAAATTTTTCAACTTGATACATCTTCTGCAAACCTCTGGCATAAGGCAAGCGAAAGCATTCTTTCTAAGCCCAGGTTCTATGTGAAAATTTAATAAGAAGGTTTCACTTACCTCCATAATATATTAGTTTCAATATAATAATGTGAAATATAATTTATAATGAAAAAGTAATTCTCAACCTCAGATAACTGACAAAGTACTACAGCATTGATACTGTCACATTTCTATTCTGAAAAATGGACTGCTACCTCACATTAGGCTTGAAACAGAAGAAATCTACTTTTCTGGGTCACAACTATTTCAAAATTGTGATTCACATAAAATAAATGCACATGAACAGATTTCTGCTTTATGTGGTGTCAGAACAGCCAGTCACTGAGGAGCAGTGTATGGGATGCTACCAAAGATGTTTATGAGATAAAGTAAGGCTCTCAATGAAGCACAAGTCAAGATCAGTGAATTCTTGATGCAAGATCAAATTACATGAGGCTTATGGTGCAAGGTCTCGGATCCATTCTTCCAAGTTTCTTTCTTCTTCTTTTCTTTTTTTTTAAATTTTAAGTTCTGGGGCACAGGTGCAAGTTCTGAAGGTTTGTTACATAGGTAAACGTGTGCCATGGTGGTTTACCGCACCTATCAACCCATCACCTAGGTATTAAGCCCAGCATACAGTTGCTATTTTTCCTAATACTCCACCGCCCCCAACCACACCTCCCACCCCCCAACAGGCCCCAGTGTGTGTGGTTCCCTTTCCTGTGTCCATGTGTTTTGATTGTTCAGCTCCCACTTATAAGTGAGAACACGCAGTGTTTGGTTTTCTGTTACTGTTAGTTTGCTGAGGATAATGGCTTCCAACTCCATCCATGTCCCTACAAAGGACATGATCCCATTCCTTTTTATGACTGTATAGTATTTCATGGTGTATAAGTACCACATTTTCTTTATCCGGTCTATCATTGATGGGCATCTGGGTTGATTGCATATCTTTGTGATTGTAAATAGTGCTGCAGTGAACATACACATGCATGTGTCTTTGTAACAGAATGATTTATATTCCTTTGGGTATATACTCAGTAATGGGATTGAGTCTATGTCTGTCTTTGCATGTGAGATGGGTCTCTTGAATACAGCACACCAATGAATCTTGACTCTATCCAGCCTGCCACTCTGCATCTTTTAATTGGGGCATTTAGCCCATTTACATTTAAGGTTAATATTGTTATCCATCAATTTGATCCTGTCATCATGATACTAGCTGGTTATATTTTGCAGACTTGTTTATGTAGGTGCCTCATATTGTCACTGGTCTGTGTACTTCAGTGTGTTTTTGTAGTGGCTGGTAATGGTTTTTCCTTTCCATATTTAGTGCTTCCTTCAGGAGTGCTTGCAAGGCAGGCCTGGTGGTGATGAATTCCCTCAGCATTTGCTTGTCTGAAAATCATTTTATTTCTCCTTCATTTATGAAGCTGAGTTTGACCAGATACTAAATTCTAGGTTGGAAATTATTTTAAGAAAGTCAAATATTGGCCCTCACTCTCTTCTGGCTTGTATGGTGTCTGAAGAGATCTGCTGTCTGATGGGCTTCCCTTTACAGGTGACCTGGCCTTTCTCTCTGGCTGCCCTTAACATTTTTTCCTTCATTTTGGCCCTGGAGAATCTGATGATTATGTGTCTTTTGCTTGATCTTCTCATGGAGTATCTTACTGGGGTTATCTGGGTTTCCTGAATTTGAACATTGGCCTGTCTTGCTAGGTTGAGGAGGTTCTGGATGATATCCTGAAGTGTGTTTTCCAACTTGGTTCCATTCTCTCTGTCTCTTTCGGGTACTCCTATCAGTCATAGGTTTGATTTTTTAACATAATCGCACAGTTCTCAGAGGTTTTGTTCATTCCTTTTCATTCTTTTTTTCCTCTACTCTTGTCTGCCTTATTTCAGCAAGATAGTCTTTAAGCTCTGATACCCTTTCTTCTGCTTGGTCTCTTTGGCTATTGATGCTTGTTATTGCATTGTG